ACTGTAATTTTTCATCTTTGCTGAAATGAGAGCAAGGACCCGAGTTCGATCACCCTTATTCAAAAAAAAAAAAAAAAAAAAAAATCTCTAAGTTTAGCTATTTCTCCCATCTTGTTTTTTGTCTTCTCTAGCCTCTAAATTCTGCAGCTTACCGGTAAATCACCACCATCCTATCTGGATTCCAAAACTGCCTGTGTAGTCTTTTTCTTTTCCAGTATTGTCTTTTTGTTAATGTTTTATTTTGTTTAGTTTTTATTTTCCCATCCTTCTTATCTTTCCCTTTGTGTATCCCAAGAGGTCAGCATGGTAGGGGAGCGACGTGCTGGGGACCATATGGTTCCCTTGGGACCCCGGCTACAGGCATATCCTAAGGAACTCATTCGACAGCGACCTGGGCATGATAGGCATCCTGAATACCTGATCCGATGGAGTATCCTGAAGTGTGGGGAAGAGGACAAAGTGGGTGTGGAAGAAGACAAAACAGAACACATCCTGATGTGGCTGTCAGCCCCAGAGGTCTATGCCAACTGCCCCATGCTGTTAGGCGAGTGGGCACTATCTAAGGGACCTCAGCACGAACCAGCGGGGTGTTCAGAAAGCTTTCCTCGTGACCCTGGAGGCCTGGATGAAGTAGCAATGAGAGAGATGGAGGCTGATGTGCGGGCACTGGTACGCAGGGCTGCCAGGCAGCTGGCAGAAGGTGGGACCTCAAGCCTCACTACTGCTGTGCTCCACACCATCCATGTGCTCAGTGCCTATGCCAGCATTGGGCCTCTCACTGGGGTCTTCAGGGAGACAGGAGCCCTGGACCTGCTCATGGACATGCTATGCAATCCTGAGCCTCAAATCCGTCGGAGTGCAGGCAAGATGCTACAGGCTCTGGCGGCCCACGATGCTGGTAAGACAGCTAGGGAAGAAGGAAGGCATTGGAGTAAATGGGGCTCAAAGGAATAAGAAAGAAAGAATAGATAGTTTTCAGCTCTTAAAAATACCTAGAACTTGATAACTGTGAGTTCAGTGCAAAGGAACAGATTAATAGGTTATTACAGGTAGATAAACAGGATAAGATAAAATGGTAGCACCTGATTTATCTGTCCATTCTCAGTGCAGTGGCAGAGAGAAGAGAATGGGGTAGATTTGTGTTTTTTTAAACTGTGGGTTGAGATTTACTAATTGTGAAATCAATTTGTTGGGTTACAACCAATAAAAAAAAAATAAAACATCAGTATGCAGCACTTAAATTTGTGAGTTTTGTAGCATGACATGTTCCTGTTTTCTGTGTGTATGTTTGTGCCAGGTTACCAGGTAAAATGTGTATCTTGCTTGGTTCTCAGTCACAAAGAAACTTGAAAACCTCTAGGAAAGGAGATAGAAAGCCTAGGAAATGCAGGAGAAAGGTAGCAGGCATGGAGAAGATACCAATTGGGTGTGGATTACAGGGAGTCGGGCTCACGTCCTTTTGTCACTGAGCCAGCAAGATGGCATCGAGGAGCACATGGATTTTGACAGCCGCTATACTTTGCTGGAGCTGTTTGCAGAAACTACATCCTCTGAAGAACACTGCGTGGCCTTTGAAGGCATTCATCTGCCTCAGGTACTCTGCCGGCTGTGGGGAAGGCTGTGTGCAAGGCATTATTTCTTAAACTATAGTTTGGGACTGTGTGTCACACCAGCGCCCCTGGAGAACTAGATAAAGTGAAGGTCCATGCCCCCTGGCCATTCAGAACTTCTAAGATTAAACTGGGTGTGGTGGCACATGCCTGTAATCCCAGCTACTCGAGAAGCTAGAGCAGGAGGATCACAAACTTAATTCCAGTCTGGACAGTTAGTAAGTTAGCAAGACCCTGTCTCAAAAAATAAAGTCTAGGAATGAGGCTTTATATTTTTCTGTAGGGAAGACATAGAGGGGAAAGGGAGAGGCCAGAGCCAGAAGGAGATGAGCCTACACCAAAGATTGTGTCCTGTAGATCCCAGGAAAACTGCTCTTCTCCCTGGTGAAGCGCTACCTCTGTGTCACTTCCCTGCTGGATCAACTGAATAACAGTGCAGAAGCAGGCACTGGAGACCAAAGCTCTCCGTGCCCCACGAGGGAGAAAAACCGGGGACAACGGGAGCTGGAGTTCAGTATGGCTGTGGGCAACCTCATCTCAGAACTGTTGCGGAGCATGGGCTGGGCCCACAAGCTCAGCGTACAGAGCATGTTACCACGCCAGCCACCTAGGTCCATCTTTCAGCCCTGCATTTCGGGGCCCCCCCCTTTACTTCCTCCCTTCATCACCACCCCCAGAAGGCAAGGGCAAGCCTTCCGCCAGCGGTCAGAATTCTCTAGCCGCAGTGGGTATGGTGAGTATGTGCAGCAGGTGCTGCAGCCAGGCATGCGAGTGCAGATGCTGGACGATTATGAGGAGATCATCGCTGGGGACAAGGGCGAATTCTGCCAGAGCAACAATGGCGTCCCCCCTGTGCAGGTGAGGAACACACAATGGCAAACACTACTGGGGATCTGTTGTGGGTAGGGCACAGCTGGGCTTCTATGCAGAAAGCTCTGATATGCCACCCAGGGAGAAAACCCCCAGGGAATGGAAGTGGTAAAAGGCAGTCAGCAAACAGGAGGAAGGTGAGGGGGCAGCTGTGAGGTCATGGAGAGATTCCTGCCAGGAAACAGAAGTGACTCATTGAGATACCCACCAGGGGAGGAGACCATCAAGGTATGAAGAGAGGCAGGGCCCACTCCTGAGAGGGATGGAAGCCTCTGGTCAGGCCTATATTTTTCCTAAGCTCAGAGAGGTGTATATCTGAGGGTGTGATCTGCAGCTAGGCCTGGGCATTCCTCTGCAGCCCTTGTAACCCAGAGGTCCAAGGGCCAACCCCTCTCTTCTTCCTCTATGCCAGGTCTTCTGGCAGTCAACTGGCCGAACCTACTGGGTGTACTGGCACATGCTGGAGATCCTGGGTCCTGAGGAAGCTTCTGGGGATGCAGTTTCAGCATCGGCAGAGAAGAGGGCAGGGGCTACTGTACTAGGCACAGGTGAGCCTAAGAGAATGTGGTTGGCATATCTCTGACCAGAGGAATGGCATTCAGCAAGAAGCCATCTCCCTGGAAGAGGTTCAGATCTTGACTCTTTTCCCTGCTGGGTGCAAATACCCCTGTGCCTGCATCTTCAGCACTTCCCTTCTGGGACTGGAAACCCATGGGCAGCCTCTACTGTTTGCCGTACCTCCGGCCTGAGCCAAAGAAGCATGAGGAAGTGGGGTACCTGACCCAGGCTGAATGGTGGGAGCTGCTTTTCTTCATCAAGAAATTGGACATAAGCGAGCAGCAGCCAATTTTCCAGAATCTTCGAGAGAAACTGAATGAGGTATTACAGACTTGAGATCCAGGATGGGTGGAAGGTGATAGTCATGAAGTTAGAAATGGGAATGCTAGAGAACTAGCAATGGAGTCCCACTTAGAGGAAGGCTGGAGTTGAAGGTTAGAGGGCTAGGTCTCTGGGGGAGGAGACATGCTGTGAGGGCTACTATGTAGAGGGTATGAATGAGGCAAGTAGGGGCGGCCACCCTTTTGGTTACTGTCCCTGGAAACTTGGTATCTGCTTGTCCCTAAGGTCCACACTGTCTGTGTTTACAGCACCTGGGTGAAGAGGCCCTGGGCGAGCTCTCCATACCAGTAGAGATGGCTGAGGGCCTGGTGCAGGTACTCTGTAGTCGGTTGGAGGGCAGCACCCTCTGTGACCTGCTAAGTTCGCAGATCTACAGCAAGTATGGGCTGCTCTCTGATGAACCCAGCACCTCATCGTCTTCACGAAGTCACTCCTGTACCTCAGATCCACAAGAAGAGTCCAAGTCAGAGGCTAGCTTCTCGGAAGAAGAGTCCAATTCCCCCAGAGCAAAGGCCAAGCCCTCTAAGGCAGAGCCAGAGCCTGCCAAGGCCAAGACTGAGTCCCCCATGGCACAGAGTGACTCACAACTGTTTAACCAACTCCTGGTGGCTGAGGGGATGGCTCCACCCCTGAAGATGAAGGTGGCAGCCAGTGGTGAGTCACATTCTGGGAGCAGAGAGCAAAGACATCGCCACAAGTCCTGGGTGGGCCCAGTAGAAGATGTGGACAGTCAGGGTGGAAGGAAAGCCTTGCAGTAAGGCCCCTGAAATCTTCCTCTGTCCTTGCTTTGATCTGGATTATCTCTGGAGAAAGAGGGTCTATTTTCCAGGGTTTCTTCATCTTCCCTGTTTGATTAGATTCTCCGTAATTGGGAAAGTTCCCAGTGCAAGACACAGTAATGACAAATGTATTTAAATGTCGGTAGGGGGCCGGGGATTTAGCTCAGTGGTTTCACCTCCTGCTGCACAAGCACAAGGAACCGAGTTTGATCCCCAGTACCAAAAAAAAAAAAGTGTTGGTGGGAAGACTGGGCTTATCCTTTAAAGACTTCCAGCCTAGAGGTGCCTCTGTTCTCTAGCCACTGCCTTTCCTTCACCAATTTCAGAAATGGCTAGAACCTTGCGGGTCCCTGGTCTACTCAGCTCCTTGGATCAGGATGTGGTAGCAGTCGCGGCCACCATGCAGATATCCAGCTCGGACGCAGACCTACAGCTTTCAGGGCTCTATGCCCTTTGTCAGACTGTGGAAGAGGTCACTGAGCGAAACCACCCGCTGGTCCATCCCAACAGATTGCTGAGGTTAGCATGGCACCAAGGGAAGAGGTTTAGGTTGGCACTGGACAGTGAAGATGGTGATGGGGGGAGGGAGCAATGAGATCAAAATTAGAAAGGCTGAGGGTGAAGGAGGTGTCAGGTGAGGAGCAATCAAGCAGTGTGTGTTCAGATATTCCTGGAGCTCTTCTGCGCTGGGGTTTTATGTGCATCCTGTCATTCCTAACACCAAGGAAGCATTGATAGGATTGTTGTTCCATTATAATTAGTAGTAGTAGTAGTATTGTTTGGGTGGAAAAACTGAGGCTTAGAGATTTTTTGTTTTGTTTTATTTTGGTTTTTTGAGATAGGGTCTCACTTTGTAGTTTAGGCTGGCCCTGAACTCACTATATAGCCCAGACTAGTCTCAAACTTGTGATGATCCTCCTGCCTCTGCCTCCAGAGTGCTGGGATTACAGGCATGTGCCATCACACCAGCCAGAGGCTTAAAGAATTTAAGTCACTTGCTCAGAATTCTGCATATAGCAGAGCCAGGATTCAAACCTAGGTCCTTTCAGCTCTGAAGTTTAAGTTTCTTCTCATAAAATTTTTTCTTCTATCCCCACTTTCTTTTTACTTGTAAAGTTTCTCCTCTTTCTTCTCCTTTTCCTTCTCTTCATCGTCGTCCTCCCCTCCTCCTTTTTGTCTTCTTCATCTTCCACCTACTCCCCTTTTTCCTCTTCTCCCTTCTCTTTTTCTGTTCCTTGTCCTCCTCCTTTTCCTTCTCTTCCTCCACCTCTCCTTTCTCTTTCTTCTTTTTTTGCAGTACTAGGGATTGAAACCAAGGCCTGCCTTCACACTGAACTATATCCCTAGCCCTTTTTTGTTTTTACTTTCTTTCTTGAGGGGTTGGGGGACAGGATCTTGCTAAGTCACTAAATTGCCCAGGCTGGGTTGGAACTTGAAATCATCTTGCCTCAGCCTCCCAGAATGCCAGGATTATAGGCAAATGCCTTCATGGATGCCTACTCTGTACTTTTTTTTTTTTTTTTTCTGGCATACATCACATAACACAATCTGCCAGCTCCACTCATTTTCCTGGAAATAACAGGATTTCATTCTTCTTTA